TTTGAGCTTTCCAGTAGAAACTGCAATTTTGGAAAACCAGTATTTGCTACTGTAAACTGATGGCAAAGTCAATACTTATCTCTGTGAGATCAGTGGTGATAATATGACTGTTTTGATATTGCCTAATGAAATGTATCACAGCACTGTGAAGATACGCGTAACTTAGCGAAGTGACATTTTTCAAATGATCCATGCATGATGCCAAAAAACCCATCAAGTGTATGGAGACCAAGATATTTTAATGCAACAGAGTATGAAAAGATTACTGGTATGGTTTTACAGTCTACATTACAACTATTCTTTAAGAAACTACTACCTGCTGGGCTGGGCACGGTGGCTCACGCCTGTAATCCCAGCATTTTGGGAGACTGAGGCAGGTGGATCACCTGAGGTTGGGAGTTGGAGACCAGTCTGGCTAACGTGGTGAAGCCCCATCTCTACTAAAAATACCAAATTAGCCAGGCATGGTGGTGCATGCCTGTAATCCCAGCTACTCAGGAGGCTGAGGCAAGAGAATCACTTGAACCCGGGAGGCAGAGGTTGCGGTGAGCCAAGGTCGCGCCATTGCACTCCAGCCTAGGCAATGAGCGAGACTCCGTCTCAAAAACACACAAACAAGCAAACAAACAAACAAACAAACACTACTACCTGCCAAGTTTTGATGTACTATCAAAGAAGAATAGCGACTATTATTTGAAAAGGCTACTTTCCCCTTTCCAGCTACATATCTGTTGTTCCAACTACTTCAATCACAACAACATACCACATCAGAAGAAATGCAGAAGCATAAATGAGAAGCCACAATTTTTTCCATTTTTTTAAGGAAATAGAGATATTTCATAAAAACAGATTATATTTACAAGCAATGGGCTGTCACATTTAATGACTGATAAATATTTTTAAATGTTTCTGTTTTAATTTCTAATGTAATAAATATTAATATATATAAACCACATACACTAAAGCATGTTGTGGCTCTCAGTAATTTTTTTCCCCACACCACACCAACGTACTTCACTAGTTTTTAAGAGCATGAAGTATACAGGGATGGTGAGATCAAAAACTTTCAGAACCACTGGCCTAGGACACATGGCTTCAGTAAATTTTAGGAGGCCGGCAGAGTGAGCATTACGCTTGCCTGAAGAATGATTCTTTTATTTGGAAAACTGTCTCCTTGTCCAGCAGTAATAAGGGAGGAAGTATTCACTAACTAGTTAGCCAGAGGACAGAGCCCAATGTCACAAATGCTTAGTCTCAGATCTCACATAATACCATGACTACAAAGCTCTGTCTTCTGGGGCAGACAGCAAAAAGTCAGAGGAACTAGGATGTCACATCAGCAATGCAAATATAGAGATCACCCTCAAATCCTTACAAACAGTTTTAACATGGGAATAGCCTCAGTTCCCTAACTAGCATGTTTTATCTACTAGTGCCAAGCATGTGAGAAAAGAGAAACAAACAAGTTTCAAATAAATAATGTTCTTTAGGAATTAAAAATCACATTCACTTGCCAATAATTGGAATATTTAAATAATTTTCCATTGAAAATGCCAAACCAAATTTATAGTTTAATCAGATAATCCCTCTCTAAGAGAAAAGCTCAGCAATCCTATCAGCTTACAAAAATTGAAGGTCTGGCTTTCTAAATTATAGAGCTTTCAGAGTTGATATTGTGAACCTGACTGTTAGACATTTCACTGCTCAGAAGAACATCCATCACAGTGCTGACAGGGGAGGGAAAACAAGGGCAAACTTAAAAAATAATTTCACCACGTTTCTCAAGCTATAAAATGTGATTTGGGAAAAACAGTGGGAAGTAGGACTTAAAATAATTTGAGGAATCATTCCTGCTCCCCATTTAATTAAGAGTTAACAAAAAACCCCAGTTTACAATAGAGTCCTATTTTAAGAAATGGGTTGATATCAAGTGTATACACATGTAACTGAGTCATCAACTGACAGGGGTTGAGGGGAGGGAGGAATGACTGGGCAGAGCACAGAGGATGTCCAGGGCAGTGAAAGTACTCTGTGTGATACTCTAATGGTGGACACATGACATTATACATTTGTGTTAACCCAGAGAATCTACAACACCAACAGTGAACCCTAATGTCAACTAAGGACTTTGGGTGATGATCATGTGTCAATGTAGGTTCACTGATTGTAACAAACATACCACTTTGGTGGTAGATGTGGATAATAGGGAGGCTGTGCAAGTGTAGAGGCAGGGTGTCTATGGGAAATCTTGCCTTCCTCTCAATTTTGCTGTGAATCTAGGACTGTGGTAAAAATAAAATCTTTAAAAAAATCACAACTGAAAATTTATCCCCCAGGGACAAAACAGAATTTTAAAATGATAGCTGAGAAAACAGATCCTTTCCTCTTATAAATTAGTAATTTAAAAAACAATGAAACTGGTTTTATTTAAATATTTAATAGTACTTCGTAAAACAGAGACTCTATTTTGTAAAACAGAGACTATTAAAATCTGAACCTTATTGTGGCATTAAAATGAGCTGATATTTCTACACATTCTACAAGGAAAGTGGACTCACCTGACTTATTAAGTCTTGCCATTGCTCTAGAAGAAAGTTATCCATTTTACCCTTGCATTTGTAGGCAAACTGGGGTGCACAGCAGTACAGCCTTGTTGTTAAGTATCTCTGTACCACCCAGTGGGAGGTGAGGGCATGAACACCTCACTGTGCAGGAGAGACAGCAACTGCTCCAGTGAGACCAGGCCGAGTCCTGGTTCTGCCACTTACCAACTTCGGCAGTAGCCATGCATGAAATCAAACAATACGAGACAATCATATCATGCATGCATTGATTCATTCATGCATGGATTCAAGTTATTTAAAACATTTAAGAAACAACACAAATGCATTACTTTCAGGGAGCTGTCTTTAGTGGGAAAGACAGACAACAAACCATTTATATATATGTATAAATAATATGTCGCATGATCATATGTGCTACTTAGAGTAAGAAGAGCAGCTAAGAGATTGGAAGAACTGAACTAAGATTGTTATTTTATGGTGTAGTCAGAGAACTCTCTCTAATAAGGTATCCTCTGAGCTGAGATTTGAAGGAATTGGAGGAGATATGCAGATATTATCTGGGGGCACAGTTCTGTGGGCAGAGGGACTATCAAATGTCAAAGTCCTTCAGGGGATATATTCTTGGTACAGCTGAGGGCTAGAAAGGAAGGCAGTGCACATGGAGCAGAGAGGACAAGGGAGAGACAGGGCCACAGAATCAGTAAGAAGGCAGGTGGACCATGTAGGGTCATGCAGGTCACTGAGAGGCTTTCATTTCTTATGTGTGTGTGTTTAAAATCCTGGTTGAGTGAAATGGGAAATTTTTCTTGGTTCCAAGAAAAAACCAGAATTGTCATTTACAGAGACAGGGAAGAGGATAGCAGCAACAGCTTTCAGGGCATGGAGAGATCAGGAGTTTGATTTGGGACACGTTAGGTTTGAGAGACCCCCCTCTGGAGAGGAGGCTGCTGGAAAGAGAATCCAGGGATCAGAAGACAGGTCTGACTTGCAGACATAAATCTGGGAGTCATCATCATTGCTCTTGGTGGTTAAAACCATGAGACAGTGAGACCACTGAGAAGAGAGCAAATGGAGAAGAGGTCAAAGGAGTGAGTCCCCTTGACTCCAGAATGCAGAGGGCAGGAAGAGGAGGGTCTAGCAAGAGATGGAGAACACCCAGCCAGAGAGAGGAGCCCAGAGGCTCCGAGATGGTGAGGGCCTAAGACGCTTCAGAAGGAAGGATGGATCCCTCATCAAGTGTGGCAAAGGTGCTCAGAGGAGGTCACTGAGGATCTGAACAGAGTTGTTTCAGTAGCAGGGTGGGGACCGAAAGATCAAGTTCAAGAGAAAGTGAAAGAAGATCAACTGAAGACAGCGAGTTGAGACAACTCTTTCACACTTTGGCATTGGGTTTTGTAGAGAAGTGTGTGCGCATGTGTATACATAAACAATCAAGCACCACATAATGATGTTTCAGTCAATGCCAGACCATATATACCAGGGCAGTCCCTTCAGATTATAATGGAGCTGAAATATTTCTATCACTGTAGCGTGGTAGCATCATAATGCAATGCATTACTTGTGTTGGTGACAGTGGTGTAAACAAATCTATTGTGCTGCCAGTCATATAAAAGTCTAGCACATACAATTATGTACGGTGCATCATACTTGAAAATAAAATTAAAGGACTATGCCAGTGGTTTTCTATTTACCATATTACACTTTTTATCATTACTTTAGAGTATATTCCTTCTACTTATTAAAAAGAAAAAAATATAACTTCTGGTTACCTCCTGAAGGACCTGCCTGAGGCTGTTTTAGTTATCTCTACTTGATCTGTAAAACAGCCTCGGGCAGGTCCTTCAGGAGGTAACCAGCAGAAGGTACCCTTATCCCAGGAGATGACAGCTTCATGCATGTTACTGTCCCTAAAGATCTTCCAGAGGCACAAGATGTGGAGGTGGAAGATAAGGATGTAGATGATCCTGACACTGTGTAGTGTGTGTCTTAGTTTTTAACAAAAACGTTTAAAAAGTTAAAAAAAATTAGTTTAAAAACAGAAAAAGCTTATGAAATAAGGATACATTTTTGCACAGTTGTACAATATGTTTGTATTTTAAGCTAAGTGTTACGAAAGAGTTAAAAAGTTAAAAAACTAAAGTTTATAAAGTAAAAAAGTTATAGTAAGCTGTTAATTTATTATTGAAGAAAAATACTTTTTTTTTTGAGATGGAGTCTCGCTCTGTTGCCCAGGCTGGAGTGCACTGTCGTGATCTTGGCTCACCGCAACCTCCACCTCCCCAGTTCAAGCAATTCCCCTACCTCAGCCTCCTGAATAGCTGAGATTACAGGTACATGCCACCACACTCGGCTAATTTTTTTGTATTTTTAGTAGAGATGGGGTTTCACCATGTTGGCCAGACTGGTCTTGAACTACTGACCTCAGGCAATCCGCCCGCCATGGCCTCCCAAAGTGCTGGGATTACAGGCGTGAGCCACTGCACCCGGCCGAAAAACACTTTTTAATACCTGCAGCGTAGCCTATGCATACAATGTCTATGAAGTCTACAATAGTGCACAGCAATGTCCCAGGCCTTGACAGTCACTCACCACCCACTCACTGACTCACCTACGGCAACTTCCAGTCCTTCAAGCTCCATTCATGGCAAGTGCCTTACACAGGTGTACCATCTTTTTTTACACCGTATTTTTACTGTATCTTTTCTATGTTTAGATAGGTTTAGATACACAAATACTGACCACCGTTGCCACTGCCCACAGTATTCCATGCAATGACATGCTGTCCAGGTCTGTAGCCTAGAAGCAAGAGGCTGCATCATTCAGCCTAGGTGTGCATTAGGCTATCCCATGTGAGTAGTAAGTCACTCTTCGATGTTCCCCCAATGATGAAATTACCCAAGGATGCATTTATCAGAATGTATCCCTACTGTTAAGCAACACATCTGTATACATACATACATATATTAAACTTTATAACACATTGCAGATAGATATTACCCCATTTCACAAAACAGAAAAAAAAAGCAGGTTTGGTAAATTAAGAAACTTACTTAAAATCACACAGCTGGTAAGTGGTGAAGCCAGGATTAGAACAAAGGTCTGTGTAAATACAACAATGCTCTTCTTAATTTCTCTGACACCAAGGTTTTATGTTATCAAAATCAGCAATATTACACTACCCAGATACTCCCCAGGGAGTCAGTCTGCTGAAACCCAGACCACCACAGGAATTCCAGACCCAAGGGCTCCTTCCTCAGGAAAGCACAGGCATTGATGCTCCATAAAGCTCAGGTGGGACTCCATAGGCAATTACTTGTTCCAGGTTCTCTTCCAGGAGGTTTTCTAGCCTTCCTACCAGACATTCCTTACTCCCTCCCTGCCCCCAGGCATGTCACTGTAAACGCTGGTGGCTTGTCTCTCATCTCTTCGCTCCCATCATAAACCATCTCCTAACATGGTCCAGCAGCAGAATGTTTCCCCTCCGGAGGTGTTTCTGCCCACTGTCTTGGCCTTTTCCGTAATCTTCCAGAAGTTACTATCTGGGTGGAGTCTGCTGCCATGAAACAGTCAGAAGCCTGACAGGAGTTACTGAGTATACTGGGGTTAGAGCATTTGCTTTCCTATCAGGTGAAGTATTCAAGCTCAGACATAGAACGTGGGTTCTAACAGTCCTACAGTATTCTAGATGTCCCAATCGATAACTTCAGTATTTCTTCATACCTCAATCCAATGCCTCTCCATCTCACATTCTAGCTATTTCACTGGCTGCTATAGGATCAACTACGATTGTTTGTAAAGCATTTTATGGACAAAGTCCATTATTATTATGGAGACCTAGCATGCAGCAATGATTAAGAGCCCAGAGACTGGATTAAAGGCTCTCTGAGTTTTGAATCCTCTTCTTCCACTTAGAAGCAGGGTAAGCTTGGGCAGGCAGCTAAATTTTTTGAGTTCCAGCTTCTAAAGTGTTTCAGACATAAAAGGTGCTCAATAAAGACACTGATAGAAGGAATGAATGAATGAAGGAATCTGGCTTATACTTTCTGCTCACCAAGTGTCTGCTGCAGCTGTCTTACAGCCAGGCTGATAATGAATGAGTAATAATTAAATGAGTTCACCTACACAAAACACTAGTCACTGGCCTGCCATTTAGTCAGTACAAAATAAATGGTGACTATTATCCTTAACCCTATTGTAATTAAGTTTGCAAAAACTCAGATATAACAATGACTTTGTCAAATAAAAGGATTTCAAATGCTAATACAGCTTTGCCAGAGAATTGGAGACAGGAACTTTGTCTTTTACAGCTGGTCCTTTCCCTTTTCTACTGTGAAATACTTCTAAACTTTATCTCCACTACAAAGTGCAGGAACTTACTGGTACTTGGCTGAATCAAAGGGAAGAAATCGACCTTCAGAGGTCATGTGGCCCATCTACTGGCCTTCAGGCTAAACTGTCTTAATCATCTGAGAGAAATGATTATCTCTCCACTTTCAAAGACTTCTAGGGATGAAACCTGAATAACCTGTCACAGTAATACCCTCGAACAGATCTGCCAGAAAGTTCTTGCTTTGTGTTTAACCTTAATCTCTCATGAGACACTCAGAATCCTTTTTCTCTTATTTTATTCTCCACAAAGCTTGAGTACCACCTTCTGTGTAAGAAGACTCAGGAAGACAGATTACTCAGAGCAAGCAATAAGGAAGCGTGTGCCCTGGAAGTTTCTGGCAAGACTGATTTAGAGATGGACCTATTGCAACTACTACTATCTGACGCTAGGTGATGGGCATGTGGAGACAATGAGTTCACAGTCACACGAGACACAAAGACATGCACATAAAATTTAATATCACACTAACAATAGATATCACTTATGAAATACCTATTATAAGCCATGTATTTTACAAAATTTATCTTTCATCTTTAAAATAAAGTTGCAATAAAGCTGTTATGTCTATTTCATAAATTTAGGTTTAAAAACAACACTTTTCTGCCATTTAAGAAAACAAGCTCTCACCATGTCTACTGTGTTTTGTGAAATAGTCTTAGTATGAATTTAGGAGGTTCAGAGACCATCTTTTTCATTCAACATCTGTTCGGCAGATATTTACAGAGCACTCACTATGTGCTGGGCCTTGGAATGCAGCAGCAAACAAGATTCGGTCTTTGTGATAAACCATGTTGAGTCTAGTGCACAAGTGAGACAAGTGTCAACAGGGAAATGGAACACGATGATACGGAGAAACCCAGAGTTCTGCAGGAACATGGAGGTGGGATACCTGAACCAGTTTTGGGGGACATGGGAAGATTCCTGAAAGAAGAAATGCCTCAACTGACAACTAAGAGAAAAGCCAGACAAAGATGAAGAAAAAAATCATTCTAAGCAGAACAGCAGCATTCATTCTGGGTTAGTAATAAGAAAGCAGCTAATCAGAGCCATAAAGTTTAGACACTGTCTAAATCACATGGCTAGAAATGCATGGAATCAGGATAGAAGTCTAGTTACTCTGAAAGCCAAGTGTAGATTTTTTTCAACACCACCTGCTTTTCACTACCATCTAATTTAACTGTCAATCAGTACATTCTCAGAATAATATGAGATATGTTTGGGTACTTTAAAAAAAAAGCCATGTAATTCAGAATCAAAAGGAGATGACGAGAGGTAAGATAACTGATAACCAACATCTAAGAGAAAAAGCCAGAGACACTTCTGGGGTGCCTGAAAAGTTCTCCTCATGGTTACGTGGGTGTATACATATGTTAACGTGCACTGAACTATTTTTTTTCAGATAAATAAAAATTTATGCTCTTTGCAGTATGTACATTATATCTCAGTAAAAGGAAAAAATCTAAAAGAAAAATCCCTAATTTATATGTTAGAAGAACCAAGAGGCATTTATTGTTGCCTGTTTAACATGCATCTTCACCTTCTTTCTTACCAACAGATCCCTTACAATGCTAGGGATTGGGCACTAGTGATAACATATCAATCCTTTTGCAGATGAAGTAGTCAACGAGATAGAAGCAAAATTTACGGTGTGAAGCTTCTAGGAAATTTCCTAACAGAAGACCAACTCACCTAGCAGGCATGGCTTTCCACTCTTCCCCCTGCTTCCTGACTGAACCTCAACTTGGCAGCTGGAAGTATAATAGCCACTGTGAATGAGAAGAGCGTTGGGATAGAAGCCAGGGTGAAGGAGTGTGGAAGAGAAGGGCAGAAGCAGCCTGGATTCTTAGTAACTACAGAAAGCTGTCACATGAGCTTGGAGCCGATTACATCCTTGCATGAGAGAAAAATAAAACATCTAATTTGGTTGAATTTATGATTAATTCATAGTTTAACCCAGCCCTAAAAAATAGAGCAATGCATTTGGAAATAAGGTGTGTGAGTATCCCTGTATTTTTCCGACATAGAGATAGCTAACCTTATTTTCTTATTTTAACAGGAACAGCAATGTCCTGCTACTCTTCCTACGACAAAGTTGCTTAAAAGGTTGCAGATGGTTCTACGGAATTGAAAAAAAATTATGAATTTTTATTAGATTCCAAGAAAAAGGAGACAAGGAGAATAATGTTTGCCTTATGAGAACTGCCTCAGTTCCCACTGTGCCTCTTTCCTCCTCCAACACACCCAAGTCCACCACTCCGGGAAGCCTCAGCAATGCCCGGGCGTGCAGCTCACAGAGCATGTGCTGCCGTCCATGTGCGAGGTCTGTGCAATGCCGTATTTACTTTTATAGACTCGAGTTTTCATGTTTAAGCAGGTTTCTCCATCTTACTGTAATCATTTTAGAAGATGGCATAGAATAGTTAACCAGGCTTTGAAGCCAAACGAACATATATCAGAAATTAGGCTTCAGCATTTACTCTCTGTCAGCTTAAAATTCATTCAATTTCTCATCTGTAAAAGTTAAAAAAAATCTTTCATAAGACTGTTGTAAAGTTTAAATGAAATCATGTGTTATATACCTATATGAAGGACAGTTGTTGTTAATGATATTAAAGCAGAAGTCCTTTTTAAATGAGTAATTTTCCTCAGAGTCCTTACTTTTGTGGTCATACAATCTACTCAGCAAACATTCATTGTTGCCTGAAAAGTAAGGACCTGGAACCGGACCTGGGTGCGGGCAGTGGACAGGGTTCTGTCGAGAGTCAAAGATAGCAGTGAACGTGTACTCAACGTCAGTGACCAGTGATAACCTAAGTGGACATGACATGCTGGTCTGGATCAATTAGCCTCTGCAGTTGAAGAGTTGTGCTCAGGGGCTGCCTAGTGTTAGTTTATGGACATGCTGTTCCCTGGCTCCATTGCCTTGAAGAAAGTGAAATTCTAAGCTAAGCTAGAACATGGGTGCATCCAGAACTTCAAAATACTACAAGTAGGTCTTAAGAGGATGGGTGTTGACAAAATAATTCCTGTGGACAAATTAGTAAAAGGAAAGTTTCACGAAAACTCTGAATTTGTTCAGCGGTTCAAGAAGTTTTTTGATGCAAACTATGGTGGAAAAAGACTATGACCCTGTGGCTGCCAGACAAGGTCAAGAATTTGCAGTGGCTCCCTCTCTCATTGCTCCAGCTCTGAATAAACCCAAGAAACCTCTCAGTCCTAGCAGTGCAGCTCCCCAGAGGCCCATCTCAACACAGTGAACTGCTGCGGCTCCTAAGGCTGGCCCTGGCATGGTGTGAAAGAACCCCGGTGCGCGCAACGGGGACGACAGGCAGCTGAGTTGGTGCAGCAGTCAACGTACTGAAAATTACTGTTGAAGACTTGGAGAAAGGGAGGGATTTCTATTTTGGAAAGCTATGGAACAGTGAATTGATTTGCCAGGAGAACGAGGGGGAAAATGACCCTGTATTGCAGAGGACTGCAGACATTCTGTATGTCACAGATGAAGGGACATCTGATGAAGGAGGCCCACAGGAGCAAGAAGAGTATTAACAGCCTGGACCAGCAGAGCAACATCTGAATTCTTCACTTCATGTGCTTAACTATAAAATACTCCCTTTTATTATCCTTAGAGGACTCACTGGTTTCTTTTCACAAGCAGAAAGTGCCTCTTCTTAGGGTTCACCTGGTTCACCTCGGACACAAAGAGGCTGACTGTGGGGCTCACCGTGCAGATGCGGGTCACACTGAGTACTGGAGAAGGTGTTATGTAATATGCTGAGGCAGCGACCTCAGTGGAGAAATGGAAAGGCTCAATTGAATTTTTAAGCTAATGTGAAATCAGAGAACGCTGTAATAAATAAATGCCTTAAGAGTATTTAAAATATGCTTCCATATTTCAAAATATAAAATGTAACATTACAGGAGATACTGTGTTTGACACTGTGTTTGGGAAGGAAGGGCCAGACCTTGGAACCTTTGGAACCTGCTGTCACAGGTCTTATAGGGCTGCTTGAAGCCTCATAGGCCTAGGCTTTGGTCTAAAATGAATATTTAAAAAGTTGTCCTGTAAAGCCACTTGGTGTCATTGGTCAATTGCATCCTTGCTAAAAAGCAAGAGGCATTGTTTCCTGGATAACAGAGGATGTGTTTCAGCCCACAACATAGAGATGTTCGAGTTGAAGAGCTTGGTTTTCATTAAGTATTTCTCTGTTTTTCCAGTTATCCCCAAAATTTCTATGTATTACATTTTTGGGGAAGTGAAGTGTGCCCAGATTTTTAATCTAACAACTACTTTTGGGGACTTCCCCACATCTCTGGGATTTGAATGGGGATTGTATCCCATTTTACTGTCTTTTAGGTTTACATTGACCACGTTTCTCTTCTCTGCTCCCCTTGCTCACTGGGGACTCCTCTTTGGCTCCCTGAAGTTTGCTGCTTAGAGCTGGAAGTGAAGCAGGCAAGTGACCATGCTGCAATTCTTTCTGGACATCTGGCAAAGGGAGTGGTCAGTGAAAGCCATCGTTACCTTGGGATCTGCAAGGCTGGGGTATTTTTGGTATCTGCTGTCCACAGCTCTCCACTGTAATCTGAATACTTTGCCAGTGCACTAGTTTCTTTGGAGATAAAATGCATTGGTGTGTGGCTAAATGTTAATTTTCTTTTGCAGAAAATATAATATCGTGTCTAAATTAATTATTAATATTTAAAATATTTCATTCCTTAACGCTCCCTCATTTGCAGGATTCTGGAAAATGTGTCTCACCCACTACTGAGATTGTTTAGCCCCTGATGTATCTATATTGATTAGTTTCTGGTGGTAGCTTGTCCTAAAATGTGTGTAGAAGGCAAGTGTTCTATGATAAAATTGTTGTGTAGTGCGTGCTGTGTGGAGTTCAGAGGAAACCCAGATTCAGTGATTAACAATGCCAAAAAATGTGTGTAGAAAGCAAGTGTTATACGATAAAACTGTGGTGTACTGCGTGCTGTGTGGAGTTCAGAGGAAAACCAGACTCAGTGATTAACAATGCCAAAAAATGCGAGTAACTAGCCATGGTTCAAACGGCAGTGGTGCTGTTTCTCTTTTGCGGCCTTTTAGACTTTAATTGTCCTAAAATTCCATTTTATTGGGAACCCATTTTCCACTTGGTCTTTCTTGACAAGGTTTTTTTTTCACTTTAAACAGTTTCTAAATAAAATTCTATACTTCAAGAGTAAAAAAATAAAAATAAAAAAAAGTAAGGAACTTAGGTGACACAACCCTAAAGAAATACCAACAACTAACAGTTTCCTTTTGTTTGCTCAGTACTCTGCACTTCATAATTTTATTTGACTTTCAGGAAGGTGAATATTAATTTGCCTACTCACTTTATTAGTTAAGCATAAAGTTTACTGTGCGGCTCACTCAAGGTCACACAATAAATGACAGTCAGGATTCAAATTCGGACATGTCTTTTGACTCAAGCTTCAGTATTTTTACTGTAGCTTGTTAGTTAATTTCAAACTTCAATTAATTTCTCATAAACGCTAACAAGAAAACTAAGATTTCTTATGAAGAGACACAAGGGAACAGATCCTTATCACTTATTTTTTTCTGGCAAAGAATGACTTACAAAATACTATCAATTATAGATACTGTCACTAGATATCACGAGTAATTTTAATGACAATTCTTTGCACGAAGTATTGAAACTACTTATTAGAATTTCATGGAACCTAACATTGAGAAACCAGGTTGAAATACTGGGGACGTGTAAGAAGAAGAACTGTTACCACAGACTGAGGTTCCAGGGAACGTCTGGAGAGTAGAAAAGGGGTCAGAGATTGGCTACCAAGTGACAGGGAGGCTGGGAAGGCTGCCGCAAATGAAATATGTGCTTAGAAGTTCAAAAACTATACAACAACTTTGGGGAAAGACCAAGATCAAGGTTGGGTTCCTTAAGCCTATTTTTTTTGTACTTCTGTTTTTGATTCCCCAAGTCCAACTACATTGGGAGTCAAGGCATGGAATCTTTTGGTATTGGATTCCTTGGCTCTTCCCATACCATTAGAAATGGTCCATCAACATGTTATGAGCCAGGTTACAGTATTTCTCTGGATCATTTGTTAATCTTGCATTTGTTTTTGCAGCCAATCCTTCCATCTGGTATACTAAGGTATCTTTTTGAGGAGATTTCTGATAAACACATTTGATATTCAGATTTCAAAGCCATATCCATTACTCTTTAGGAAAATACTGATTGTGATCTGCAATATTTACACATGTGAAATAATTATTCCTTTTGATTTTTTATGGGATTGTCGGCATCTTCCTTTGACACAATGTTAGGGCAGCAAATGGTTTTTAGTGTTCCTGGGGAATCTGGTGGCACACTAACTTACATCAATCTGCATATCAAATTATACAGGCTCACTCTTCAAATATGCAGCATTAAAAGCATTTAAACTATGATACTTACAGTACTTTAATCAGATAAGAAATGTGATAAGAATACCTACTTTGTTTTAAAATTACTGATGTAAAGTAAAATTCTACCTCTCCACATTTTATTCAATAAATATTTATTGAGCACTACGTATGTTCCAGCACTGTGGCAGGCACTGGGGGAGGTGACAGTGAATAGATTTTAAAAAGAAGACAGACATTGATCAAATAATCACCTCAATATAAAATTGCAGTTATGATGGAAAACTGCTGGGTATTATGAGAGCATGTAATTATACGGAAACAATCACATGGGCTGCAGCAGGGAGACGTGATAGCTCAGGACTGGAGTGGAGGTGGGCAAGCAGCAGCCAGGTCCGGGTGCTCCACAAGCATGGTGACCTTCACTTGGACCAGTGTGCAGGCTACGGGCATGGGGAGCACCTTCATTGATAAAAACCAAAACAAACAAACAAAAAACTGTGGAACTCCTGAGCCTGGTATTAAGGTCCATCACAAAATGTTCTCTATGGATCTCTCTATAGACACTTAGTGCACCTACCTTCCTAGGCACAGCAGGCTGCAGCCTCACTGAAAAACTGGTCACTACCAGCGCACACCAAGTCAACAGGACCACTGAATGTTTTTTTTTTTTTTGCTCTTCTGCACAAAAACCTCCTTTGGTTTGCCTGGTAGAACGGTCATCTATTACTGACGACAGTTTAGAATATACCCACTAAACAACAACTCACTATCTTAGGTGCTTAAGAAATGCTGATGAACAAAAAAGGATGAAGATTCCTGCCCTTGCAGAGCTTAAATGTGAATAGCGACAGTTTGAAGTATGTTGGGCACATTAGGCTTCATTGAGAAGATGATGTAAGATCTGCAAAAGCCTTCTGTTAGAAGTGTGTCTTATGTATTCTATCATTCTTAAAGTTACAATTTTCTTTCATTTGAATTCATAACTTCAAATTCTGAACAGAAAACTTCAAATTTCCCTTTGGAATAAGGTATTTTTGAACAATTTGGCCCATCGCAGGTCTCAATAGTTGTCTGGGGAATGAATGAATGGAAGACATTATAAAAAGGCCAATAATTTATTTTTGGAAGAAACAAGTATTTCCTTAGCAACTCTCTGGTAGGCACTGTGCAAAGTGCTTTACACATATTATCTAATTTATATAGTACTTATTACTCAAGAAGAGTAGTTCTCAACCTTTGGCTGCTTATCAGAATTATCTGTAGAGTTTAAAGAATTTATAGATAGCTCTGCTAAACCAAGACTCAGATTAAAAAATAACAGGTGATTTTCTTGGCACCCTTTTTTTTTTTTTAAGGCTGCATAGGTGACCTTCTATGTAGCCTGAGTTGAAGACTACATCAATCTTCACATTAGACTTACAATGGTACCAGATTTCTTACTGTGTTTCTAATAAAGAAATGTTTACAACAGATGCAGACTTACATGTTATCAATTCAACTGAAAAACACACACAGATCACCTTTCTGATCAGTACTGCATTAGGTGCTGGTGATATAAACATGAGTACAAAAGGGTCCCTGCTACTGTGGGACTCTTCATGAAAAGGAGATGGATTCTCAACAGTCCGGCAGGTTCTGCTGGAGGACAGAGCAAGCATAGAGCACCGTGGAAATATAGAAGCCTTAAAGAACGGGATGTGAGGAGAGGAGAATCACCAACCGTTGTTGGATGATATAACTACTGATCCAAGAAACTGGTAGCTCTGTTGCAAGTAATCTGGCAAAGACTAAAATACAAAGAAAGGCAAATTGTCCTGTTTGCACCGTTTTAGAAAATTCTAAAAATCACAGTATCTTCAAAAGGTATATGTCAGATTAACTAAGTAGCCATAAAGATTTTGATGACAATGTACTTTCACAAGTTAGACTTCACATTTTAATAGGTAATTGAGACAAGTATAAATGAGCCATAACCGAGAAACTCAGTATTAGGTTACATTACATAAGTGAGTGACCTGAGATGAAGGAACTGGGGCCAAGTCAGGAAGGGCTTTGCTAGCGGGTGTGGTGGCTCACACCTGTAATCCCAGCAATTTGGGAGGCTGAGGCGGACAGATCACTTTGCACTCAAAAGTTCAAGACCAGCTTGGGGAACATGGCAAAACCCTGTCTCTAAAAAAATACGAAAATTAGCTGAGTATGAACATTAAAGAGTAAAGTGACAGCGGCACCATCTCTTGCCTGTGGTCCAGCTACTCAGGAGGCTGAGGATGGAGAATAGCTTCAGCCTAGGAGGTGGAGGTTGCAGTGGGTGGAGATCATGCCACTGTATACCAGCCTGTCTCAATTTAAAAAAAAAAAAAAAAGGCCTTGCTAAAGTGATGACTTCTAATAGAAGAAACAGTCTTGTATCAATTATTTAATCCACCCTATTTAAAAATAACTTGCTAGCACTAGCAATATTGCTATATTTGGTGGGATTAGAAACTGCCAAGGCTGAATGCCACACACTTCCCTTAAGCAACCCCCTTCTTTTTCAAATTGCCACATACGCTTTACACTCCTTTGTAATCAGTTTCCCCGACCATAAACTTCAAAGAATCCAAGGGGCAATCATTATCCTGGAGAAGCATACACAGGGCTCCACTGGAGCTGTACTAACATATGGTATGTGTATGTATCCCATATTGTTTTCCCCAAATTCCAAAAAGTGGAATGTAAGACATATTTAGCTTCGATAGTTTTAGATAAAGAATTGTGGAACTTTAATGATAGCTATTGATAGCCTTTACAATGTGTGACATGCTTAATCCATTTCGCTTAACTTTACATTTACAACAACCCTAGGAGGTCAGTACTATTATTGTCATCCCCATTTTACTCTAGAGCACAGGTTAAATAACTTGCCCGTGGTCACACTTCAATTTACTACATCTTTATGCAGCCTTAATTGAGACACTGTTTTAATTATATTACTTTGGCTAAGACAATATGCATAGGTGTTTTCCCTCTACGTAAGATGTCTTGTTGGGCTATGTACCTATATGTATTTTTTATTTCCAATGTCTCTAAAATTTAGCAGTGTCTAAGACTATATCCAATACCTTTTATAAATCATTTCAAAAAGGTTGCAATTGGATTAAATACTTCTATTTTATAAACTTACAAACAACATAAATTCATTTTCACGTGGTACAGCAATCCTTATAAATGGCAGATAAAGGAAATACATGGATGTTTTAATGATTATTTTCCTACTTTCTAATGTGTATGTCTACTTTTTGGTCCAGAACACTGAACAAAAAAGCATCACAGTAAGAAACAACCAACAAAAAAGCAAAGCATTTATGCCTTTACACTTGCAGTGTGCTCCAAGTTAGGTCTGTGCTACTCTGCACAGAAAATGAGCAGATATGAGGTGAGCTGGAAGCAATCTATCACCTGGTGATAACGAAGGTGCCAATGATCATCTCCCCATAGTCAGTACTACTTAGTGAGCAGCAGCAAAATGCCCAGCAGTGACAGACACATAAAATAAAACACGATCACAAATTCCGAGTGCCATGGGCCAGGTTCTATACTAAACTGTTTAAGTATACTCACTTTGTTTTGTAGGTGGGAAAATTGAGGGTTAGTGAAAGATCACATACACAGCTGCTAAGTGGAAAGGTCAGGTCTGCCTGACTCCTAATCATATAATATTTCCACTCTATCTTGTTTAATATACTTTGGAATTGACTATCTTACTCTAATTTCTGGGAGATTAACCATGTCAAAACGCTGCGTACACATACTTTAAGACACCGATGAAAGAGAATACAAAAAATAAAACTACAACTCAGTTACTTACTAAAATTGGGGTAAAAATCTAACCATAATAATACATTTTGTAATTACAAAGAAAAACTGGGAGAGAAATATAGTTACCATGGATATAATGACTTATTAGTATGTAAACTATTTTTATATCAATTATTTAATGTACTTGTTACAATTCTATGGACAACCTAAATTCAACACATCCCAAATGAACTTACTGACTTTTTCCTAAATCTCACTGCCACTTAAATTAATTACATCACTGTCTACCCAACAGGTTAAGTGAGAAACTGAATTTATCCCCTACCCTCCTCTTTCTCAGAACTCTTCCAGAAATTGCTTACTCTTTTCAATTAAAGAGTTCTTAAATATATTCATACTGTCAGACACTCACTGTTATACTGTAAGTTCAGGCACTTATTGTAAAAATATTGGGTCATAAGTCACAAATATTTTTAAGGTTCTCGATGCACACTCATAAATTACCTTCCAAAAGGAACATATCCCTTCATGATGACAAATACAAGCAAAAAATATGATCCACACCATGTCTGAATATTATTTCAGTTTCTAAAGTTGTGAGTCTAACAATGACGTATGAATGGATTCTGGGGAATTCAGGCACCGACATTCTCCATTACAAGTCAACCTGCAACAAGTAACTTTGAGCTCTGTCCTCAAGTCTGTGCTTCTGACACAGTTTAGGACTCTCAACAATCTAAATTAAATGAGCCTTTAACAACTTTTTATTGCACAAATAAGGTATAAAAATGGCATGCATAATTTTATTTAGATCATTTGTTGGGATTTTATTGACTGGAGACGTTCTCAGAAAAGACTATAATATTTTCTGGATGTAATACTTAAACTCATATAACAACAGTTACATAGAGGCGTAGTATAGCAGAGTGCTTAGATTGCCTGGGTTCACATGCCAGCTCCAGCACTCACCCTCCATGAGTCCAGGGAAGTTCCACTGTCTCTGTGCCACAATTTCCTCATCCATAAAATGGTATAATAATAGTAGCTACTGGCTGGGTGTGGTGGCTCACGCCTGTAATCCGAGAACTTTGGGAGGCTGAGACAGGAAGGTCACTTGAGGTCAAGAGTTTGAGACCAGCCTGGCCAACATGATGAAACCCTGTCTCTACTATAAACACAAAAATTAGCTGGGCATGGTGGAGCACTCCTGTAGTCCCAGCTACTTGGGAGGGTGAGGCAGGAGAATTGCTTGAACCTAGCAGGTGGAGGTTGCAGTAAGCAAAGATGGTGCCACTGTATTCTAGTCTGGGTGACAGAGTAAGACTCTATCTCCAAAAAAAATAAAAAATAAAAAATAAAAAAATAAAGTAAAATAAAATAAAATAAAAGTAGCTAAAAAGGCTATATTTGCTTACAGTGGTAAGCAGCTACTACATGCTACTATAGCAAATTTATTGAACTATTATGTATATTACATCTGCTATCTCACTTAATTACAATGTTGTAAGTCAAATAGTTATCATTTTACAGATGAGAAAAGACTCAAAGAAGCAACCTAGTTAACATCATAGAGCTAAGAAAGTAGTAGAGCTCACATTCAAATCCAAGCTTTTGCGGATTTATAGCCACTGTCTTTTTTTTTCTTTCCTAACAATCATGCTACCTCATTTTAAAAGTCAGAAATTATACAAAAGTTATTATTCTCCTCCACTAAAAAGAGACTATATATGCAAGATCTGTAGGAAAAAAAACTCTTTTAAAAATCAGTAAATATATTTTAAGAATGTATGAAACATGAGGAATAAAACATGGGAAGACTTTTGAGTAGGTCTTTATCTTACAGACTTAAAATTCTACAGTGCAGATTTAAAATTGGAGGTTTGATCATCAACACAAGTGCTTTTTAGAAACCCTGTCACATAATCTACATTTTAGTAATGAACCTGCTTCCCTGGTATGTTCACTCTCCGCAGCATCTGTCATTGCTATGAATGGTTGATCATAAGTACTGCTGTAGTCTTCTCAATGCTATTAAGCAGATGGCAGCGCTAAATCCAAATGATGTAGTACATCTCCCTGGTGGACTTTGTTTTCATTTACCACCATTATTCTACAATTCCTCAGTGATAAATCTCATGTGTTCTCAAGAACATTAAAGAGTAAAGTGACAGTGGCAACTGATTTATTGCCGCTACCATGCCTTTGCCCTGCTACCGTGTTGTCATACACTTGTGGAGATCATGCATGAAGATTCCATGTGGTGGTCTTCTCTACATTTATAGGAACCCATTTTTTTCCCCCTTACTAGTTGCTTTTGAGTTAGGCAAAAGAACGTAAGCTTGGTCTCAAAGAGAACAGAGTATGAGGACTAACTGATATTAATTAGCTTTGTGACTTTGGTCAAGCTCAAATTCTGTGAATGTCAACTCCTTTTGTAAAATTAAGGAATGACAATCCTACAGGAGTTCTTAGGAATAAAATGACACAATATGTATGAGAGCACCTGGATACATAGTAACTCACACTTGGTAAGTACGCAATAGATATTTCATTCCTCCAAACTTTGTTAAGTAAATGAATCTTGAGAAACATTTTCCTTTTTTATTAGTTTAATTATAAAGAAATATTCCTGATGAAGATACAAAACTTCTTATTTTCAATATGATCAAGGCATTAAATTTGGTAGTACACTGTAACTTAGTGAGAAGCTCAGTCTTGCTTCTCGGACTCATCTAATCAAATTTTCAGTATGAGCAGTGTTTCAGGTTGTCCACTGACTGGTGACACAAATGCTCAGTGTAGCATTCACCAAACCCCAGCCATTCAGGGACAATTCTCAGGATATGCAGTATACTTGCCATCTACATACACACCTATCCCGTTTGTGACTTCATATTAACTCTCCATGTTAATTTTCTTTTACTTTAAATAAACTTGCCATCACTGAATTATAGCAATAATCATAAAATCATGGGTTTGATATGCTAACCACACTCTTTCAATAACTTTATAATCTAATCATTAAAAATTTTTAAGAAGTCTGCCCATGTAACGTCTGAAATCATATTGTGAGACGTCAATGATATGCGTACTACTCACTAGTATAATGGAATGAAAATGGACTTTGAAATCAATAATGTCATTAAGTGTGTCACTCAGGCTACTTAAACTCTTGAGTCTCAGTTTTCTCAATAATAAATTGAGGATAATATCCCCCTTTTAAGGTTAAAATTAAGATTAGAGGGTGATTGTGTGTATGTGTGTGTGTGTGTTTAAGATTAGAGGGTGGTGTGTGTGTGTGTGTGTGTTTAAGATTAGAGGGTGGTTGTGTGTATGTGTGTGTCTGATACACTACAGCAGATGGTCAATATATAATAACCATAATGAGTAGCAATACTTACACATGCTAACACTCAGTCTTGGGATGTTCCTTCCCTTTTCCCTGTCAGAGCTGACAAAGATTCTCTGCTTGGCTAAACCTTAGTCAGCCTCCTGATCCTTCTCCTAGGCCCATCTGTGCAGCTCCTTGTAAAATCCAGTTTTAAAAAAGAATCTTGCTGAGTCAGTTTAGCAAGAATACGCCACCCATGATATCTGATCACTCCAATATCTGATCGGGTTCCTTATCCTCCCCAGGGGAGGGGATGTCTGACCAATCTGGACTGCCTCTGGCAAGAATCCTGTTAGGTCGGTTCAGCCAAAATCCCCCCACCACTGATGTTTCCTCTCAGTAATTTTCTGTCTCCTGACCCCAGCCTGGCTTCTTGGCTATGAATTCCCACTTGTCCATGCTAGATACAGAATGGAGCCTGGTCTCTCTTCCCCGCTGCACAGTCCCACTGCAGTGGTCCATGTATCTATTGCAGTGGTCCTGAATAAAGTCTGCCTTACTGCGCTTTAACAAGCGTCACCAAAGAATTTTTTTTCTTTACAGGGTTGTAGTTGCACTTTTTCACCACTCTCTCTACTCTTTGTTTTTTTCTTACCTGAGAATTAAGTATTTACAGGTTTATAGGGTAATTTGGGTTGATATCTCTTGTTTTTGGTTGATGTCTAATAGTACTGTGCTAAAGTATTTTTGTTGATAGTTTATAATGCTAAATTTTTATTAGCACTTTTCGAGACCCTTTATGTTTTATTTAGTTAATGATCATCACTATAGGAGCCAAATAGTTCTTTGGAGAATTTATACTTACTCAGAAACACAGAGTAAACATATTATGATAATTATTAGGATTGTAAATAAGACATCAAATGTAAACTAATTCCACTTAGTTTAGAATAAAATAAAGACATTTACAAAGGGTTTCCAGGAGTCAGAAATGGTATCTGTGCAGATTCAAACCACGTTGGGGCAGAGGAAGGGCTCTCAGGGCTGAGGCCATTATCACCCATCCGTTTTGATTCACTATACTAGCTATTCAGAAGCTGTGTATCCACAGGAAGTAATCAACAACTATTTTTGAGCCAATGTGTATTAGAATAATTCCCATATTGTAAAGAATAGTTTATATGTCTCTTCATAGTAATTGTGTCAAAATCTTGTTATTCATTACAGGTGTGAAGTTATACAAACAATGCTTTTGTTTTATACTGTAATGTTAGCATTAACAAGGTCATTACAAAAACCAATGGGGAAATGTAGCAGAACTACACTGCATTTTTTACAGGAATTCTCATTGGTACTCTGATTTGAATGCAAGGTATTTGAAAATTGGGAGAAAAAATTCCTAATTTGTAAAACTTCCAAAGAGAAAGTTGTTTCTGTAATATGACAGTGTCATAATAATGAGGACCTCAGGAGTTTAAAAGTCACTACGGAAAGAATCCCTTCCACACAACAGATCATCCTCACCGGCAGCCAGGCCACCTTGCTAACTTACTCAATTTTGTTTTCAGGTGGGATATGGCTGTTGACCTTCCCAACTCTCAGCGTACAGGAAATACTGACACTGACCATCCACAGGGGAAGAATCCCTTTGCAAGGTTTCCTCTCTCACTATAAAACATTTGCTCGCACAGTCCTTGCAGGTTTCCCAGAATCTGCTCTTCCTAGTCGACTCTTGTGTGAAACAACAAGCAGAAGGAATTTAGAGCTGTAGAAGGATGGCAGGAACTCGGGCTCACACTGTGCTACCTCCCCATGCAAACCATCTCATTCAGTCGTCAAGCAGAGACAAGGGAGTGGACAGCAGACTTCCCTCCACATCGTTTACAAAGACTGCATGCTTTTCTGTCTCTTTCGGCCTTCAGGCCGGCCCTCTAAACAAGAATCTTTTTACACTTTTCTCACAAGTAGAAACAGTTACACATTTTATAAATGGAGGCTACCGAGGCTTCGAAAGGTTAAATATCTCACCCCAAATCACAGAGCCAGTAAATGTTAAAGTTGGCGTCTGACCATAGGTCTGTCAGACTCTTAACCACTGTGGCCCCAGTCTCCGTTTCTGATAATACATCGGCATAAATAAAAATGTTTTTGAACTTGTAACTGTAATGTGCTTATGCATACTATAATATTACTAAGTTATATTTTAAATAACATGTAAAACATTAAAACAGCCTTGCTAACTTACTCAATTTTGTTTTCAGGTGGGATATGGCTGTTGACCTTCCCAACTCTCAGCGTACAGGAAATACTGACACTGACCATCCACAGGGGAAGAATCCCTTTGCAAGGTTTCCTCTCTCACTATAAAACATTTGCTCGCACAGTCCTTGCAGGTTTCCCAGAATCTGCTCTTCCTAGTCGACTCTTGTGTGAAACAACAAGCAGAAGGAATTTAGAGCTGTAGAAGGATGGCAGGAACTCGGGCTCACACTGTGCTACCTCCCCATGCAAACCATCTCATTCAGTCGTCAAGCAGAGACAAGGGAGTGGACAGCAGACTTCCCTCCACATCGTTTACAAAGACTGCATGCTTTTCTGTCTCTTTCAGCCTTCAGGCCGGCCCTCTAAACAAGAATCTTTTTACACTTTTCTCACAAGTAGAAACAGTTACACATTTTATAAATGGAGGCTACCGAGGCTTCGAAAGGTTAAATATCTCACCCCAAATCACAGAGCCAGTAAATGTTAAAGTTGGCGTCTGACCATAGGTCTGTCAGACTCTTAACCACTGTGGCCCCAGTCTCCGTTTCTGATAATACATCGGCATAAATAAAAATGTTTTTGAACTTGTAACTGTAATGTGCTTATGCATACTATAATATTACTAAGTTATATTTTAAATAACATGTAAAACATTAAAACAGGCATTTAAAAAGTAGGAATAGGAGGTGCTGCTTTCCAGTTCTCTCTCTGTGGCTTGTGGACTGTCTTGCTTGCCCCTAAGTGAGTATGTGCCAGAGACAGACACAACAGAATCATTTAACTCAGTGCTGCCTATGAGAAGACACTGTAATAGAGAGTTTCCTAGTAGCCACATGTAAAAAAGTAAAAAGAAATAGGTGAAATTAATTTTAATAATTTTTTTAACATTCTTTTTTTCATATGAAATCTCTGGAATGTGGTGTGAATTTTACACTTCCAGCACATCTCAGTCTGGACTGGCCACGGGTCAAGGGTCCACAGCTCCATGTCTAGTGGCTGCCACACGGGACTGAGTAGCTTTTACCTCTGCTCTGTGCTCTCTCCTACCACACAAAATATTAAAGAACATTTGCAGACCAGCTTTGTACTCTAAAAGGAGGCCAAGTGAAGAATTCCTCACTAATACTGAACTATAACTGTAGCATAGCACATAGTTTCAAATTCTGAATTGAGAGAACTATTTATGTATGAAATGAATCTTACGGAACCTGAATTGTCAAAATCAAGACACGTTTGATTAGACATCAAGTGCTACATGGCACTGCCTACCAGTGCATATGAAAACTGGGTGCTCCTGGACAGCAGTGGCAGTAAATGCTATTCACTGAAAGGATCTAATGTAAAACTGGAAAAACAAATTTCTTAATTTCACTAGTCTAAGCCTACAACTTTAATATGTATATTTAATACAAATTAAATTCCCTATTTGCTTAAAGTTGTCCAAATTTGATAAGGCAAAAGTTCTAGTTCATACTGAAGCATAATTCCTGAGAGATTTTAAAGCATCACAAAGTATTAGATTTTTGAATACTGTATATGGGAAATATAAACAGGAATTAGTCCCAGCAACTGTAATCAAAACCATGACAAAAGGAGAGCTGAAAGGCAATGGAGAGAGTACAACATAGAATGTTTTGGCACCAAGGTGATTTCTTCGTGCTGCTGCTTGGCCTTGTGAGTCTGAACAAGGAACTTCACTTCTCTGATTTGGGAATGACAGTTTTAAACTTGAATTTAGCAATATCGAAGGGGATGCAGAGAGGGGAGACAATTTACGTAAAGTAGATGAAATAATGCCAAGCACGCAGGAAATACTAAGATGATGGCAGTGATGATTTTCTTCTTAATATCTACTATTTCATACTGGGGATGATCTGAAAATCTGCTATCCTAACTGGTTCATACCAGGTTCCTAATTCTGAAACATGCAGTGTTGTGCTTAAACTGGTGTTAGAGTATGTGCATTTTACGTGCTGAACTGTGCACCCTGCCTTCTCAAACTCATATGTAGAAACCCTAAATCTAGTACCTCAGACTGTGACCATCTTCGGAGACAATGCCTTTAAAGAGCTGATTTAAATTGAAATGAGGCCTTTAGGGTGGGTTCTAATCCAATCTGACTGGTGTCCTTCAAAGAAAAGAAAATTTGGACACAAAAAGAGACACCAGAAATGTGAGTGTACAGATGAAAGAGCATGTGAGGACACAGAGAGAAGGCAGCCATCTGCAAACCCAGGAGAGGGGACTCAACAAGACTGCAGTATTGTATCATGGCAGCCGCAGCAAACCAGCATGGTGCACAGAACCATTTCTTCACCCCATGCTATATACAGCTGCTTCCTTTCAATTTATAGCAGAGCAGCTATTTAGTGTAAGCTAAGAGTGCTGCAGTGGAAAAGATACTAACATATACTTACAGTCAGACCTCAGTTCAAAGTTTGTCTCCTTTGTGTAAACTGTACAATCTGAAGCAAGTTATCTAATTGTGTGAGCCATTGTTTTCTTCTTTAAAAGGGACAGATGTTTATTTGACATGTTGAGGATTAAATGAACATTCAAGAGTATCTAGCAGTGGCTTCTGCATTTGTCCATGTGAGCACTTCTCACAGAGTTCTCCGTACTCCTTCAGGTAAGACAAGCTGTAGCAAAGAAAAGATCACTTCAAAGAAGGTAGATTGGCTGTCACAAAAGATGCTTCTTTTAGTGAATCTTTCCAGATATTTAAAGGGCTTACAATTTATAACATACCAGTATCTTAATTAGTTTCTGCACCATCTGCCAATCCAACCTTCACAACTGTCATCTAATTAATTCTCTAAATTCAAGTATAAACACATCATACCTTTACATGTAACTCTTCGATGGCACTGTCTCAGCTCCTCGTGGAGGAAACATGCGCTCACTCCTGCAGCCCTCTCACCACAGCTCCTGTGCACCACATATTCCAGCCCTACACAATTATGTGTAGTCGCCACACAAAACTTACTGTTCCATACCTCTGTGACTTGCTAGCCTTATCTGTGAACTGCCCTTCCCTGTTTGTCACCTGGTGACTACTACTTATCCTTCACTTTCTCAGGTAAATGTCTGCAGTATTCCCAATCAGAATTTAGCTTAGTCTTCTTATGGAAACAATGAATTTCTCCTCTCACAATAATTAGAATATTACACTGTTTTAAAGTATTTATATGTTTCTTTCTAGCCAATAAGCTTTTCAAGGATAGAGTCTCCATCTTAATATTAATCTTTGTATTCCAAGCATCAAGTATAACGCCTAGCACAAAATGGACATTCAATAAACACTGACTGAATAAATAACCAAAGAATAAATGCTTGTCATCTATCATATAAATATATAATCAGAGCTTAAAGTAGAACGACCATGAGCTTTAAAAACCTGGGTCTACATTTGGGATTAGTCATCTACCTCTCTGAGCCTCAGTTTCATCACGTATATTATCTCTTGCTGTTGTTATTTGTATTAAAACAAGACATATAAGTAACAGATCAAATTCCATGCCTGATTTAGAGCAGGCTCTAAATAAACGCTAGCTCCCCTTAGTGATCTATCAGTTTACCCGCAGTCACATTTTGATCTCACTCTCCTTGACAGATCACAGCATTTAATAGGGCAAATGCTTTAAGTTTGGTTCTCTATATCAAATATCAAAAAGCAAAAGATCACAGGGACTATAATCTTGTACTGTAAATATACTTCATAAAAAAAGTTACATCTTGGTTTCTACATCTATTAACTGGAGGAAACTATATTTATTGTATAGGACTGGGTTGATGCCTGTGAAGATCTACTGAAATCAAATACAAAAACATTAGCATAGTATCTGAAACACATTACTCAATAAATATAAAGTCGCTTCTCTTTTCTCCACAGAATGAATCGAACCATAAACATCACTATATTGTGATACAGTTCAAGCAAAAAAACATGCTTGCATTTAAAGTCCACCACACTGAATAGAGCCATGTGCTAACAACGTCTCAGTCCACAACAGACTGCAGATACAGCGGTGGCGCTATGATACCATAATGGTGCTGAGAAATTCCTGTCACCTATTCCATGATCCTGACCCTGGGTAAGTCTATGCAAATGTGCGTATTTATGTCTTTGTTTTTAATTTTAAAAAAAGGTAGTCCTGGTGTGGTGGCTCACACCTGTAATCCCAGTTCTTCTAGAGGCCAAGGTGGGCAGACTGCTTGAGCCCAGGGGTTCAAGATCAGCCTGAGCAACGGGGTGAAACCCCATCTCTACTACAAATACAAAAATCAGACAAGCATGGTGGCACATGCCTGTAATCCCAGCTACTCCGGAGGCTGAGGCACAAGAATTCCTTAAACCTGGAAGGAGGAGGTTGCACTGAACTGAGATCACGCCACTGCATTCCAGCCTGGGCGACAGAGGGGGGAAAAGAAAAGTTTACAAAGTAAAAAAAAAAAAAAAAAAAAAATTAAAATCGATAAAAGTATATAGAATAAGGATATGAAGAAAGGAAATATATTTGTACAGTTGTACAATGCATTTATGTTTTAAGCTAAGTATTATTACAAGAGTCAAAAATTAATAAAAACTGCAAGTTTATAATGTAAAGAAGTTACAGGAACTAAGGTTAATTTATTATAGAAGAAAGAAAAAAACTTTTTAATGAATTGAGTGTAGCCTAAGTGTTTAGTGTTTATAAAGCCTGCAGTGGTACATGGAAATGTCCTAGGCCTTCACATTCACTCACCACTCACTCACTGACTCACCCAAGAGCAACTTCCAGTCCTTCAAGCTGCATTCATGGTAAGTGCCCTATATGGGTATACCACTTTTTATCTTTTATACCATATTTTTACTGAAGTTTTTCTATGTTTACACATGTTTAGATACAGAAATACCACTGTATGTCCATTGCCTGTAGTATTCACTATAGTAACATGCTGTGCAGGTAGACCATACAGCCCAGATGTGTAGCAGGCTATATCATGTAGGTGTGTAAGTACACTCTATGATGTTCACACAATGACAAAATTGCCTAAAGACACATTTCTCAGATCATATCCCAGTCGTTAAACGACACATAACTGTGTATCAATCCCATAACAGATATGGGAACAGAACTAACAGAAACGAGCAGTGAGCCTCTCACACGAATATACCAGGGTTAAGAATATGCACTTGGCAGCCACACACCTGTTACCATTTTATCAGCTGTTTGGTCACAAGCAAGCACCAGAAACTCTTGGTTATCTGATCTCCTCATCTACAGCAATACTATCAGCTTTAGAGTACTGTTGTCAGGACTGATGTGTTCAAACAACCTAGCCTGTAAGGCCTTATAAAATTTATGGAAACAGTGCCAGGAATACAGTATTCACTCAGCAAATGTGGGGATGGGAGACTTGCTTTGCTAGGATATTTAGACTACATATTGAAATATCTGTGGATATTTATGTTTTTAAACAAAATCTGAGAAGGACGTATTTATAAAGGGTACAAATCTTTGAGTTAGAATATCTGACTTAGAATTTCATCTTTCCACTTACTGTATGATTTCTGGCAAATTACTTAATTCTGTGCCCCTTTTCTTCATGTATACAATGAAAACAATGCCATATACTTCATAAAGTTGCTGGGATACTCAAATGAGATGGTGTATACAAAGTCTTATCAAGCATTTACCACATGCCAGTCTGGGCTCCGTAAGTGTTAGGTCTACCCTCAACACACTAAAGGGTACAAATACGATATACAGGCTTCCACCAACAAAGACCAGTTGAGAGTCAAAGTTCAAAGGCTACACAATACTTACAAGTTATAGAAGAATAAAATTTGGTATGAGCAAAAACAAAACGTTTTTTTTATATCCCTATCTACCTCAGGACCAGAGTTAACAAATAAGAGAACCTATGTGTTCAAAGTTTGACTGGCACTGGACGAGTTCAAAAGTGAATTTGTGTTTCATCAAAATCACCTCATAGTCCATATTTTCTTATGCTTCAGAATCACTCTAAAGCCAATATTTTGTTTTGTGTATATGTCTACCTTTATCTTCCACTTAGAATTTAAAACATAAAACAAAAGGTTTCCACGTATTTAGGACAACATTCTCAACATAAGAAACATTAATTTTATGTATCAATGAACATCAAGGTAATATTAACAGAAGAGGTAATATGAAGCTCTGTTTTGCCTCTGGTAACATTTACTTATTTGTGGGTAAATATTTCTTTGGAAAATAAATTACAGCTAAGTCATTTTTCACAGGTAGGAGTATGAAGTTGTTAGAAAACAGGAGAGTTGCTGCTTAGAAATTGAAATGTTCTATGAATAGGAAACAAAACTTTTGATAGTTTCTTCTCCAGGCACTGACAATGTAGGATACTTACACAGTTCCAATGTAATTTTGGGCCTTAAGACTAAATAGTCACAGACTTTGAGGCCATTGTTCCTCCTCAAATTATACTGAACATTTAAGTCAAATTTTTAGACTGAAATTTCAGTTTTTATTTCCCAAGCCTGATTTCTCTAACATTACGGTAAACTTGGGTAGGGTAATACAAGCTGGTTGCTAGAACAGATATGGCTTCTCCATTTAAACACATACAAAAACAGGGCAAGCCAAATTAACCTCTCTAGCTGACTGTCATACTTTTCCCAGAACATATGAATGTGGAAGGGAATGATTTCTGCTGTGGAGTCTGGTAATAAAGACTGACTCTTACCTTTGGGCTGGGGCGCTATAGCTGTTATCATAGGAATCATAACTCTGTTCATCATAAGCAGTGCCATATCCATCATCATAGTCCTAAAACATAATAGGAGAAGCACAAAAACATTCAGAGAAGTTTCTAAAAGAAAGAAGCATTCTGCTTTTAGTGAATTTCCATTAATTCAGCTAGCATTTAATTATATGTCTACTTATAGTGTAAAGAAAAATATAGGAGGGACTTTAGTGAAAACGGTGAAGAACCTCCACACATTCTCTCTACAAAAGCCAAGAAAGAGCAGTTGGTAAAAATGGTTAGAATCGCCATTTTCAGAACCCTGGAAATTAACCAAAAGATTGCAGAGATCTAGAAAATGTTGTCTTTTTTCTTTTTTTTAAAATGGCTGAATCCCGGTAAGAACAGTGAGCTTTGCGCTCTTCTAACTTGTTTTATTCCCATGCCCCACTCCCCAACTCTGCAGGAACCTTGAAAACCTACAGCCACAATCACCAGGAGTCTGGATGCCACTAGAGGGGGCAGAACAAGGCTGGAGTTCTGACAAAACCCCATTCCTAGAGCACTGTCTTCATTTGACCTGGCTCAGACTTTAGCCCTTGCAAAATGCCTTTTTCCTCTGGGTATCTGAAGAAAATACTTAGAGGCAATTGTCTGACATTTCTGTTGCCTCAGGTAGTGAAGAAAAACTGAGCAAACAATGGGCTAATCAAAAACCTTCAAAAGAAAAGTAGGGAATGAGGTGTTCAAAACAGGCCTTGTAAAGCTCTGAATTATTCCTGGCAATCTAGAAGGCCGGGACCATTCACAGTACCACATCCATGCCCAGAAAAGACCTGACAGGGCTCTGAGCTCTCTCTTCTGGCTGACCTTGAGGTTAAGCATGAGTCCCAATATTCAGCCAGAGGCCCTTGGCAAAGATTAGAAAGTTTCTAGGCATTTACTAAAATCTCTGCCCAATCATTAGCTGACTAGTAAACTAACACAGAGGAGACTTCAATAGCAACACACAAAAAATAAAGACTTTATAAGATTAGTTTAGAAAAGTCACTAAACAAATAACAAAAACAAACAAGAAACCCTGGAAAAAATTGATCTCCAGAGTTTACACATTAAATGTTCAGTTTTAAACAACAACAAAAAATTGAGACATGCAAAAAAACCCACAAAAGTATGTCCCTACACAAGAAAAAAAGCAGTCAATAGAAACAGTCCCTGAGGAAGCTGAGACATTGGACTTACTAGACAAAGACTTTAATTTGGTTATTTTCAATACAGTTGACACTTGAACAACACATATTTGAATTGTGTGGGTTCATTTAGTGCAGGTTTTTTTCCAACTAAAAAATACAGTATTCATAGAATGTGAAAGTTATATATATGGAAAACCAACTTTTCAAATATGTATGTTCTGCAGGGCTGATTATGAAACTTGATTATGTGTGGATTTTGGTATAAACAGGGGATAGTTGTGTAGTCAAGGAATTAAATAATAGCCTTTCTAACCAACTACAGAAAAGTATAAGAACAGTGTCTCATCAAACAAATAATATAGATATAGAAAACATCAAAAATAACCAAAATAAATTCTTAAGGTGCAAAGTACAATAACTAAAGTAAAATACTCATTTTAGAAGCTCATCAGCAGATAGAACTAGGATGAAGAAAAAAGTTAGTCATCTTGAAGATGCATGAGTTGAGAAAATCCAGTCTGAGCAAGAGAAAAAAAGATGAATGAACAGAGTATCAGAGACCTATGGGACAGCATCAAATGTATGAACATATATGAGCATATACATACTGACAGACCCAAAGGAAAAAACGTGAGTAGATTATTTTGAGAAACAATGGCTGAAAACTTCCAAAATTTAATGAAAAACTAATCTACACATCCAAGAAGCTCAATAATCTCCAAAAAGGATAAACTCAAAGACCCAAATGTAGACATGGTTATTGTCAAACTGCTGAAAGACAACGACAAAGAATCTTGAAAGTAGAAAGAGAGAAGCGACTTATCACATTCAAGAGATTTTTATAATATTAGCAGCTGATTTCTAACAAAAACCATAAAGGCCAGAAGACAATGGGAAGTCATATTAACAAGAAAAAAAAAAAAAAGATTGTCAACTAAAATTTCTCCATCCAGCAAAGCTATCCTTCAAAAATGAAGGAGAAATTAAGACAAAGGTCATTTGACTCCACATTAAAAAAAAAAACAAACCACAACAACAACAACAACAACAACAAAAGAACATTGGTAAATTCTTAAGTAAATATAAAAGATAGTATAAACTTTTAAAAAAATTTCTCTTTTCCTTCTATCTGATTTAAAAGACAAATACATGAATAAATAATTATAAATCCATGTTGATGGGTACGCAATGTGTAAAGATGTAATTTGTATGACAGTAATAAGACAAAAATGAGGGGAGAGAATGGAGCTATTAAAGAGCATTTTTGTGTTGGTTTAATTCTGAGAAAGCAATATAAATAATTTAAAAATAAAAATGTAGAAAAAGAAACAACAAATAAAGTAGTGCAGTCAATAAAAAGAAAACATTTAACACAAAAGAATGAAGTAAGGTACAAGAAAAGACCTAAAACATGTAGAAAACAAATGGCAAGATGGGAGGTATAAATCCTACATTATCAGTAATTACATTAAGTGTAAAAGGATTAAACACACCTACTAAAAGGCAGAAATTAGCATCATGGAAAAAATGATCCAACCACATGCTGTCTACAAGAGACACACTTTAGGTTCAAACATAAAAACAGGTTGAAAGGAAAAGTATGGAAGAAGATATTCCACGAAAATAGTAACTAAAAGAGTGCTAGAGTAGCTATAACACTAACATTAGACAAAAGAGACTTTAAGACAAAAATTGTTATTAGAGAAAAATGACATTTTGAAAAATGATAAAAAGATCAATCCATCAAGAAGGTAAAATAATTATAAACGTGTATGCATATATATAAACATACACGTAACAATAGAGCTTCAAAATATATCAAGCAAAACTACCAGAATGAAACGGAGAAATAGAAAATTCAACAATAATAGTTGGGTACTTCATCAATACACTTTCAGTAATAAGTAGAATACCTAGAAAGAAGGCCAAAAAAGAAAAAAAACATTTGAACAACAATACAAATCAATTATACCTAACAGACATTTATAGAGCACTCTACTCAAAAGAAGCAGAATACACATTCTTCTCCACTGCACATGAAACATTCTTCAGGACAGACCATAAGTCTTCCCTGATCAAAATTTACTATAAAGCTACAGTAATCAAAATAGTGTGGTATTATAAAGTTTTCAACTTTGTAAAACAAATATTAATATGAAGGATGGTGCTGTCTTTGTAGGAGTAATAATTTATTTACATATGATCACTAATATTTAAAAAAACCTTTTTTAGAAAAGAGCAACTGAATATTTGTCAAAGAGCTATATGTTTTGTACTTTGATGACACTGTATAATATAAAATGATAGTCATTAAATGGAGGCAGAGGAATAATAGAAGTCATGAATATGATTATAACACAATTTGCAAGCCAGTGTTCTTCATAGTAGCTAAAGGTAGATTACTAATTCCACTATGATCTTCCAATAATTAATCAAGGAAGAGAAAGCTATCAGACAACAAACAAATACTTTGAGATGATTTTGGTTATTAGGTAAGTAGCAAAATGCAGACATTACAAATAATTCTTATGAATTAAAAGAAGCTGGAAGCTCCTAATGGAAGGAAAATTTGTATTAAATTAAACCTTCATCACTTAGCACCCATGCCATTTCTGGCGCTCTGCTAGACACCATGGTTGGAAAGGAGTCTAGTAAGTAGTGGGAGACAGACGACAGACAACTAAAGAGATAACTATAGTGGGAGACAGACGACAGACAACTAAAGAGATAACTATAGTGGGAGACAGACGACAGACAACTAAAGAGATAACTATAGTGGGAGACAGACGACAGACAACTAAAGAGATAACTATAATTCTACAAGTCAACTGCTGAGTCAAGGGTAAGCACTGAGGTGGGATAGACCAGCCCAGTTAGGAAAGAGAAAGTGGAAGAAATATTCCCAGGTGTATCAATGCTAGAAATTAGTTTCAAACTACAGAAAGTAGAAGTTGCCATTAAAATAGTGATTGAAAATTAGTATTAGGCAGAATGAACAGCAGGTGCAAAACAATGGAGGTACAGGAAGACAAGAACTAAGCTCATTCAAGGAATCAAATAGCTTGTTATGGTTCCTCTGTATGGTGCAAATGGAAGAGGAGACCCAGAAAATTAAACATTAGCTCATGAAGGACCAAGTTAAGGAATAAGGATTTGAATTTGGATGACATCATTCATGTTGTGTTTATGAAATATCTCTTGGTGTGTGGGCATGAAACAGAAAGGGTGAAGATGAAGGTTGAAACTTGCAAACTAGGTCACCGCATTGTGCATACAGTTTGGCAAAATGAAAGATCACGGTTTCTTTAGTTATGTTAGTTTGAAAAGAATATGCTTCTTCAAATAAATAATTCTATTTCTGTGCTTATTTGAAGAATCAAGATTGTAAATGATTAGAATTATAAAAAATAAAATATTAAGCAGTATACTGTTTTAATCCTACAGTTATGACACTCATTCCTTACTCAATTATTCTGTCAGATATTACAATACTAGCAATTTATTTGAATTTTCAAACTGTTTAGGTCTTTGAATTACTGACTTTGATATTTTTACACTGAAGATATTAAGAGATTAAATTTGCAATTTTCACAAGATTTCATTCAGGAGGATTTCGCAGTTTGATTTGGCCATGCTGGTGAATATTTTGTACTTCCATTATGACGAGTATTATTTGTTCAGTGGACAACACTTGAAACACATAGGGAAGCATGAAGCAGACTGCAATAGGAGAAAAGGAGGAAAAGCTGAGTGTGACTGCAAATCAGTGTCTAAGTTTCCAGGCAGAGAGCACAGGGAATTCTTGTTGAACATCTACTATTTTTACCACAAGGAAGGAGAAGAGGTCACTGGCTGAGAACAACAGTGAAGGGGGATTAACCAATAAACAA